AATAGACCAAAGCGGATCTGGTTTCAGGTGGATGTGAGAGGGGGCAAGCAAAATTTGCTTCTGGATTAGCTTCAGTCCAACTCACATAATAAAATTGCTTAAATGTTTAAAAATTTTTAAATAATACCTATTTTATTTGAGTTTTTTTATATCTTGGAACCTATGCACTTTGGAAGAATATTGAAAAGGAAAAAAGTTTTAGAATTGAATTTTGTACAATATACTTACTGTAAGTTAAAAATTTATTACCGATATTGCAAACTAGCAATAATTGATGAAAAAAAGGCAAAATAATGAAGTCTTTTGAATAACTTTTTTAAAATATTTTAATTGCTTCGAGGGCATTCAATTTTGGTGAAAAGAAACTTTAGAGTATATAAAACAACACACCAAATTTCATTAAAATCGGTTCGATAGTTTTCGCAAAATAATTATTTGAAACAAATTTTGAAAAAAAATTTCGAATCTTCAAAACGTTGTACAGCCTCAAATAAAGCATCTACATACTTGAAAAATTTTTCACATAGAAAAGACCGCTCAACCTTTCAAATGGTTTTTGAAAAATTGAAATCGGTTGATTAGGACGACCACAGGAAATTTTTAATGTTTTCTTTTTTTTATTTTTTACAATTACAATTTAGGGTGGCCCAAAGACAAACGATTTTTTTTGCGTGTCTCGTGTGAAAATCAGCTCAAAAAAATTTTTTTAGAGGTCGCTCAAGATTTTTTTAAATTTCCAAAATCGTCAAAAATTTAATTTTTTTTTCTTTTCATTTTTCTTGTTATTTTATCATTTTCTAGGTTGAAAAAAATCTAGATTCTGAAAATTTCAAATCGATATTTTAATTTCTAAAGGTCACTCATAATTATTTTAACTTTACAAGTAGTGTACCTAAAATGTTTTCGAGGGACCTCTAAAAATAAATATCAACGAACTAATATGTCTTTTAATGAATTTTATGAACAAATGAATAGAAATAAATCACGAGACACTTAAAAAATTTCTCGAGGCAAAATTTACTACCGCAGTGGGAGTATCAAATATTTATAATTTTCTAATTTTCTAAAATTTAAGCGTTTTGATTTATTTATATTCTATTGTTCAACAAATTCAATAAAAAAAATATTATTAGTTCGTTGATATTTATTTTGTAGAGGTCGCTCGAAAACATAGGTACACTACTTTGAAAGTTAAAATAATTATGAGTGACCTTTAGAAATTAATATACCGATTTGAAATTTTCAGAATCGAGATTTTTTTCAACCTAGAAAATGATAAAATATCGAGAAATTTTTTATTTTTTTTTAAATTCAATTTTTGACGATTTTGGAATTTTTTTGAGCTGATTTTTTGAGGGGGCTCTTAAAACATGATAGACTAACATATTTTTTCAAAAACTATCGAACCGATTTTAATGAAATTTGGTGTGTTTTATTATACTCTTACTTTGCCTTTTTTTCCATCAATTATTTGTATTTTAACTTACAGTATACAGGGTGTCTCATAATTAGCTGCCAACCCTGAACAGGCCGATTCTACGATCAAAACTAAGTAAAAAAGTTCATATGAACATGGGTCCGGAAATGCTTCCTAAGGGCACAGGGACCCATTGAAGAGGGAGGAATGGAAATCATTTTTTTGCAATATCTCTCAATCGCGTTGTGATAAATGAATGAAATTTGGTATACACAGATAAATTTTGATGAGCAATTTGATGGACTAAACCATTTATTTCCACAAGGTCCATTGGGGTGGATACGGGGGGGCCCTTGGTACTTTGCGTGTGTAACTTTTTCATCATTGACTTTTTAACAAATTGGACAGCAAATTCCGTTTTCCCGAACTGTTTTACGTTAAAAAGGTACTCTTGTTTCAAATCGTTATGTTTAACGGTTTCTGAGAAAATCGCTCTTGAATTAATCCCACTTTGGTCAATTTCATAGTAATTTAAACAAAAAAAAAATTTGTTTAAATTTAATCTAATTTTAATAAAAAAAAAAAATAATAAAAAATTAAATTAAATAAAAATTAATCATTTAAATGGAAAAGAGAGGAAAGGAAAATTATTATTATTTTTTTTTGTTTAAATTACTATGAAATTGACCAAAGTGGGATTAATTCAAGAACGATTTTCTATAATTTTCGGTCTATAATTAATTTATAAATGTTTTATTTATTCACTTTTAAAAATAAATGATTATTTCTTTACAGAATTACTAAAGTAAGTTCATTTTTGCTTCGTCGTCTTTTAATAAACAGAGTTTGTAATTCAACCGAGCGCCCTGCTAGGTCGCCAAACATGACACCCGTAGATTTCCCAAGAACCCAAGGTGGAAATTTTCGGACAGATCGGAAAGGCACCGAACCGACAACGACGTCCTGGGGGGATTAATATTAATTTTCCCCCGTCGGGAAAACGTGATTAATAGCGGCAGGTTGTCACTGCGATTGTGCCCGGCTTACTTGTTGGGCCTCCGTCGCGTACAATCGCAGCAAATGGCGAGAAAAAAAAGGTAATTAGAGATCGATGGTGTGTGTTCGGGGAAGAAGGTTTGACATTATTTTATGTTGCCTCCAAGCCGGGATGGCGCTTCTTTTAGGTTGGTATTTTAAAGGAGTGGCTATTTCAGCAGTTCGGATCGCCTCCTAATACCGAAGAACACCGGAACAATTACCCTTATTACCCTGCCTTTTTGTCTGAGGATGAAATTCGACAGCGGAAAGTCAAGGTTAGTTTTTGTCTTTAATTACCATCCTCAAAGGCTGGTCGTGAATATCTCGTCCATCATTTATCATGTTCTTTTCTTTTCCAATCGAACTTTTGATAAGATATGCTAGACGCTTTGATTTATTAATTATTTTTTCTTTATTTCAGATTTTACACTTAGACCAAGCAAATCAAATTTTTACTCGAAAAAAATCCTATCAGCGAGATTATTGTAAAATTGTCTAAAGGAACATAATACAAGACATCTCTCGTCTCGTGAGTCAAAAACTTTTATTAGCTAACTTTTCTATTTAAACAAATAAGTGAGGAAAACAGTTTTTTCACTTTGCAGGGAAAATCATCAATTTTAGCGAAAAGTGACTCTCAGACAGCTTGTAGGACATAAAATTACCTACAAAATGAGACTTGTTAAATTAAAATCGGTTAATAAACAAAAAAGTTATTGCAAAAAAGCAGGAAAAGTGCCCATTTTTTCATTTGTTTATAACTATCGCATTTATTGTTAAAATTTTAAAAAACCTGTGACAAGTTGAGGGTTTTATCATACCTTAAAAGTGTGCCAAAAGTGGGCGCTGTAGGTGCAATAGTTTTCGCACAATTATATTTGCTTATAACGCAGGCTCCAAAAGTTATGAACTTTAAGCCTCTGTACAGGCGTTAATTTTCAAGCAAACATGATTCTGAAAGCGTCATTGTAATCTTAAAGACGTAATTAAGCGACCTATTAAAAAATATCACCGTTTTTTTGACATTAACATTCTCAAATTGTGCATTAAAAAACCGTGCGTTTTTCGCTTATAAACAATTTGAATAACATTGTTGCTATTTATGCTATTTTACCGAAAATAGATGCAATGGATAGCTGGCAAAAAAAATACAGTTTTAAAATAAAAAAAGTACCCTCTACGACCAACAGGAGCCAAAATAAGATTTTTTTTTAAATCGTAGCGCAATTGTTTATAAATATTAAGACTTGAATACAGTTTACGACGTAAACTACGATTTTCCGTGAATTGCATTGAAAAATGTGGAAAATTAACGACTCACGAGCCCTTTAAAGAAAAGGTACTCGCTAAGTAAACTGTTTGGCGGTCGGCGGCGTGGTGGTGGGGGAAGCTCGTCCAAGCGGTCGCGCGCGCGAGAAAAGTTAATTTAAACTGACGCGCTGTAAATTTTGCAATATCTTGGCATCTATTCATCGTAGAAACTTATTTTTTTTTTAAACAAGGGTAGCTCGACGCAAAAATAACAATGGGCATATTTACGAATTCGTAGAATAGCTCTGAACCCCAGAAAAAATGCATATTTTATACCTAAATTTTTTTAATTTACAAAAATGTCAAAAATTATTGTTAAACGAAACATTTAAAATTTCAATTTCGGAATTATTTTACTATTATTAAATAAATAAATGAAGCTATTGTTCGTTTAAAAAGTTATTTTTTACATATTAAGGCAATGTAAACTAGGTTTTTCAATATTTTGTTAGGTATTTAATTACGATTTAAATGTAAAATTAAAGTAAAAATTCACAAATTATTTTCAGATAAATTTCAAAATAAGTTTTTGACTCACGAGATGAGAGATGTCTTGTATCATGTTCCTTTAGACAATTTTACAATAATCTCGCGGATAGAACTTTTTTCGAGTTTCTCTTTTATTATCTCTAATTTTCCTGATGTAACTGTGAAGTATAACTTTTGTTTTCAACAGGATGAAAAAGCGACTTGGAACTGACAAAAAAAAGGACACAAATTTTGACATTTATATCTTTTATTCCCTTTTTATCCTTTAATTTTAACAAACGATAGAATACACTAAAAATAAAACTGACGTGGCATATGTCTTAAACTCAACCATTTCCGAGAAAAAAATTATCAAAATTTCCAAATTGATGTACAAAAGTTCGATTAATTAAGGAATATCGACATTCATGCGTGCATAGAATACCATAAAATACAATGTTTATCACTTTTTTTTACTTCTTTATGCTTAATTCTAAAAAATAATTAGCGTTGTAATAAATTTAATTGGTATCTGGAATTCGACCGTGCCGGAGTGTTTTTTGCATAGCTACCACTATTTCCTTTTCTTGAGGTGTTTTCCGGCGAGTGAGAGAAAATTGGCCGTGCGTGCATCGAAAATTTTAAGCATATGTTGTAGTTTGTTTAAAAATTCGATTTTAAATTTCGCAAATATAAACCTCTCTGAAAACGGCGGTGAAGGTAAAACATCCGCCGGGGGATTCTAAAAATAGACCTTTTTACTCACCGGCGTCGTCGAGCCGGAACTCCTGCTCGAGCTGCTCCCTGGTGGGCTCGGGCTCGGCCTGCTGGGCCGCCTGGCTCGCCGTCCCCGCTGGCTGCTTCATGCTCTGCCTCGTCTTATGACCCCTGAACGCTGCCTGGATCTTCGTAGCCGCCTGCTCCTCGTCGTCGGGCTGGTCCTTTGGAACACAGTTTTTGTTAACATTAGCATTAGAAATGTTTTTTTTGGGCTAAATTTTGCAAATTCTTCCCTGCAGCTGTTGAGGAATTACGTATTATGTTACCTTGGAGTCCGTGTCTTTTCCTTCTGGGGTTTTGCGTTTGCTGTCTGCGGCCTCTGTTTCTTCCAACGACTTGGCTGTCCCGTTGGACCGTAGCGTTATCGTCTTGGCCGAAATAGACTTGGTGTCGCCCGATTCTGAAAAAGAAAAACATACTCTGCTTGCAAAATGACATTATTAACAAGGAATAATGTTAGGTATGACTTCAGAGTGGCTTGCATAGATTTATAGTACTCAAATACTCAGTTGCGGTTTTTTACTGAAAAACAAACTTCAGGAGATATTTTAAAAAGTCAAACAGTGAAGCCTTGATGGTTGTCAACATCGGTCGTCATGGGTAGTTGTTGTAAAAGGCTCGCGAGGAAAGGAAATGTTTGACAAACCATATTAGGTACTGAACTATTGAAGTTTTTTGTCAGTGACAATCGCATTTGATATAAAGCTGTCATCAGTGCTCATTTAAATTACAATAGCTGCTAAGTTTTCCCTTTATTTATAGTCCAGTCACTGAAAGCGAAAATAAGGTAAAAGCTCCCAATTTTTTTGGTAAAACTTGTAGTTTTTGAGATATTCACGAAAAATTGCTCAAAAACATGTTTAGGCGCAAATAACTCAAAAAGTATTGATTGTACAAAAAATTCTTTTAGAACATTTTTTGCTTAGAATTCGTCCATCTGTCGAATCGTGAGGTTATTTTTAATAAAAAAAAAAAAAAATCCCACCCTCCAGAAAGGGTGGCATAAAAGCACACATCGGCACTATATAACTTTTGTTTTTTGGGCTATTCCCTAACTACAGTTCAAATTTCACGTCAATCCATTCCATCCGAAAAAATTGGTAGCCAAAATGCTTCACTGACTGGACTATTAATCCTTTTTTCTGAACCGACGTGTTTATGTCTCTATATCCCCTTTAAATATGTTACAGCGAAGCTTGTTAGGCAGTGCCGGTAATTAAATTTAATATTAATTTGGCGGAAACCCATATCCTGCTGACCTAAGGTGATTTATTAGCTTTTGTTCACTGATCTGGAAGCATAAAAGACGGGAAAATATTGTTGTGTAGCGAGTGGGAGTATATGAACGAAAGTTCTTTTTATTGCGACACCGTTGATGCTGAAAGAAACCCAGTAATTAATTTAAACAGTTTTTATGCTTTTAATAATATATCTATCATTTCACTATACTTTTAAACCATGATGCACAGTTCTTTGCTATAACAAAAAGTTACTGAATTTCGCTTTCTTGAGTACGTTTTTCATTCGATGATAACCGTAATTTAATTTTAAGAACGTGCCGATCCACATTTAAGCCAGAATTACGAGAATAACTGGAGAAAAGTGTGTACAAACCCCTTAATAACCACCCCCTCCCTGTCCGGCAGAAATGCAAACAATGTAGCGACCGGAGTTTTCCGGGGCACAGCCCGGGGCCGGAATTTCGCTGGGTGCCGGTTTCTCCGGTCCCAAGCCAACACAAACAAGGACTGCCTAGCCCCGGGTCCGAGTATTGCCGTTATTTATTCAAGGGGGTTGTCGTTTAATAATTGATCGGGGAAGGGTTGTAAACCGGGGGAGTAATAAGAAAGTGGATCCTCATTCTCTTGAACTACACTAACATTTACTAAATAAATTCATGAGGGGTACGGAGAGGAGTTTTTTGGGCAGTCGACCGCAGTTTTGAAAAAAAAAGTTTGAATTACTGAAAAAAAACAGTACGTGGATAAATCTTCAAAATAAATTGGCAAAGGCATAATTTCATAATTAAAAACTTGTTTATGCTTCTATATCTCTTGAAAGGAATTTAGTAAAACGGGCAAATGATTTTTTTCTAGTTCATATGACAAAATTTTTTTATTTTTTTGTCGTACTATCTCCCCCTGTATTTACGGGAGGTCTTTCTGAAACACCCTGTATAATTAACATCCCCTTCAAACTTTTCATAATAAAACACTGTCAGTTTAGTTAATAGTAGTCATTTAATGGTGCCACAAAACTTTTTTACATTTCATTTTGATACTGGCAAGGCTTCTTCAATTTAGTTCCAGTTTATGTGGATGCTGTCGCTTGAAGTCCTCCAATTCAGGAAAAGTCTTCATTACACGTCGCGCTCCCCTTAGTGCTATCAACACAAGTAGGCTTTGCTTCCTGTTCCTGAAAACCTTGGGTCAGGTTCTCCTGAACCCACTTCAGTATCAAATCCAAGCACGAGCACTGCCACGGATTGCCAGCCAAAGAGACCTTCCTCAAGTTCGGGAACTGAGACAAGAAACTTGTTGGCAACGACGTCAGCTCGTTGTTGTGAAGATACAGTTCCCACAAGGATTTCAATCCGTCGCCCGAGAGGATATTACTGTCCAATTTTTTAATTTTATTGTTACCCAAGTCCAATTTCTTCAAATTTGGCAAACTGAACGTTCCCGGTTCGATACTGGCGATTCGATTGGCGCCTAGAAGCAACGTAGAAAGATCCTTTAGCCCCTCAAACGTGGAACCGCTCAGCGATGCCAGGTTGTTGTGTTGGAGGTGCAAGATTTGTAAATTCGCGGTGCCCTGGAATATTTTTTTCGCTTCGAAGCGGGCCAAGGCGTTATTTTCAAGCTTCAGAGTGTACAAATTGGGTAGATCCGCTAAAGCACCGTCTTCTATAGACGATATCTTATTGTTGAACAGATCCAACTGCTTCAAGTCTAAATTGTTAAACACACCCTTCTTAATTTCCTTCAAATCAGTGCCTGCTATACGTAAAAGATCGATTTTGGAGTTCTTGAAGGCGTCGGGTTTGATGTCAGTTATTTGGTCGCCTTGTAACACCAGCGAAGTTAGCTCCAAATGGCTGAAAGTGCCGGGATTTATTACAGGAATCGCGTTATCTTTTAAAATTAACACTTTCACTCCTGCTAAGCCTTTAAACGAATCAGGTTCCAATGAATTTATAGAACTTTCTATATCTAATTGGAACACGTTCGATATAGCAGAAATCTCTTTCAACTGTTGAAGGCTCTCGGTATGGATAGTTACGGACACTTGTTGGTTTTCCGGCAAACTACTCAAATCGAAATTTGAGCACGCGTAGTGGTTGCCCCGATCGTTTTTACATTTCGCTGCTGTTTCCGCACAGTCGCTAGCACTTGCTATTAAAAGGTAAACGATTAAGCTTGTTACCAAGGCCATGGCGATTTTCGTTATGATCTGAGCTTGGTTTCTTTGATATATGTACGTTGCTATTCATGATGTCATTAGGAATCCCCAATAACAAAAAATATTTATGTAAATATGACATAATCCTGAATCTAATAACCAACAGACAAGTGTACTCAGTGACGTTGACTATTATAGTTACTAGAAAAAATGCACATAATCTACATTTTTCGCTGCGATAATTCGAAATGATGAACAACTTCGTACTAATTTTTTTGCATGAAACGGTAGACAATCAAAAAGTGACAAAATGGGTGTAAATTTTACGATAATTTCCCTTTTAAAGTTATTACTGAATCATTAGATCTACACCTACGCCGCTGCCTATATATCAGATTTTAAAAACATGTTTAATTATATAATAATAGACACCTTGTTGAAATTTAGACATTTTATTTTGTAGATATTAGCATGAAACTGCTATTTTTATGTTACTATTGTTATTTGGTTTGTTAATTTACTGAGCAATTTTAGATCGCCGCTGTCCCTACTAACTGAAGGAATAGTGACCGAGGTTTATCAAAAATTTAGCACCATTTCAAAGGAATTTATAAACAGAGTGCCTTTGTGGGATTGCGGAATACGAGGCATAGACTCTGTATTTAGTATAATGGGAATACGAGATGGTTTAAAACTAAGTAAGATGTACTATAAAGTACTTTTTGAAGGTCTTACGAAAGAATATATAGAAGAAAGGGACTCGTTTCATCTACACTATACTTCACCTGGCAGGCATGTTCATAAATAAGAAAAAAGAAAGTAATAAATCCCAAACCTCCGGGAAATAAACGTGATGCGTTCGATATCCATTTATATCTATATAAAATATTGGAAAGTCTGCTGTGCACAATCGACGTAAATTGGAAAATAATTTTAGGTCTCTCTCTATCTCTGTCTAACTTGACGAAATTATATACTCTTTACTAACCGAGCTTTAGTAAATGTATGTAGTAAAAACAATAATGTCAAATAACAATGACAGTAAGTTACAAAATTTAGAAAAAAAAACTAGACAGACTCTCAAATAACAGCTTTAACTGTTACTCAGTCAGATCAGGAGCGTATGTAAAGCCCTTTAGTTAAACCAGAGCAAAACTGGAAAACTTCATATTATGGCTATTTGAAAGTCTGAAAAAGGGACATTGATTTATTTCTGCAGGTCATTTTAATAACTAATGCGTTAAAAATGAGCGGGTAATTCATGTCATTATATATGGAAATATGTATTTTGTATTTCCGATCTCGACAAATCACCAGCTCTAACTGTATATTAGCGTGCGTGGGCAATTTCGTATTCAGGATATCCACATGAATACATTCATTATTCCAGTTTAAAAAGGTTTTACTAAAGCTTTGAATATTGATATTCTTCGTTGATTTATTCAACCAATCAGGAAGCAATAATACTCGTACTTAAACAATCATTACGGTAATATTAGACTAGGCGGTATTAAAATTACATAAACAAAATGTTTTTATATAATAAATAATAAAATAACAAAATATGGTGAATGAACATTGTTTGTTGCGTTTCTTGTTCATTCACCATATTTTGTTATTTTATTATTTATTATATAAAAACATTTTGTTTATGTAATTTTAATACTTTTGTTTTTAAATTTGTGACAAAAATTGTTAGTGTGTCTGTATTTGTATTTTTTTTCATGTTTATATAGATATTGCTGTATTCATTTTATTGTAATATTTTAGACACACTTTTTTAATATTTTAATGTTAAGTTCGTTATTCATAAATTGTGATGTAATTTTGAAATTATTAAATTTTATAGTGTCCTGAGGATGTCACGATAAGTGACGAAACGTCGACAATTGAGAAAATTTGGTGTTTTTCTTTGAAATTTGGCCTCTAATTTCCCACTATTGACAACAAACTGTTTAATAACATATACCTAGAAGGGCTCTCAAGTTTTCAAACGCT